ATTATATGGAACCATAATTTCCAAGCTTACATTTCAAAAATCAGATACAAAGTTTATTTTTACAAAAATCAGATCATAATTAAATATTTAAATATTAATAATAATATTTTGAAACTAAATTAATCTAGAGTCATGTTACACTTACCAAATTTTTTACCAAATCTTTTACACCCCACTCACATTAGGGGGTGGGGACCACGGGTTAGCATTTTTTAAAACACACGGGACCCACGCTTTTGTGTGGGAGAGGGGGGGTTAAAAAATTCAGTCCCCCCCCCCCCCCCCGCGCCCCCTGATAATGTATCATTTTTCATTAATCTATAGAGTAATGCTACACGTACAACCATTTTATCATAGAAGTGCTACAGAATTTCAAAAAATATGATGTGGCACTGCAAGATTCGTTATCCCTTCTTATTTCTTGTCTTGTCCTGACACCACCAACCGCCCCCCCCCCCCTTTTACCCACCCACCCAACCAACTTCAACCCAACACAGTCACCCTTCCCCTTTTTCCTTATTTTTTGTTTCAAATTTTAAAAATATTACGTGAATGTTAAACGAAGTCGAAATATTGCATTCTTAACACCATTTCGAAATACTAACGGGCTAGTTTATTATAACCCTAACCGCGTGTGAAACGGCCAACTGAGCAAACGTTACCACTCGTCGAAATAGGTCGTTCCAAAATATATAAATGTTTTTTTTCTTATTTTTATCTCAATTTCCGGGATTATCACGGGATGTCAAAGGAAATCGAAATTTCGTATTTTTAACACCATTTCGAAGTACTCTTGGGTTAGTTTATTGTAACCCTAACCGCATGTGAAACGGCCAACTGTAGCAAAAGTTATCACTCGTCGAAATAGGCCGTTCCAAAATATATAAATATTTTTTTTCTTATTTTTATCTCAATTTTCGTGATTATCACGGGATGTCAAACGAAATCGAACTTACGTACTTTTAACACCATTTTGAAGTACTCACGGGCTAGTTTATTGTAACCCTAACCGCGTGTGAAACGGCCAACTGTAGCAAAAGTTACCACTCGTCGAAACAGGCCGTTTCAAAATATATAGATGTTTTTTTTCTTATTTTTATCTCAATTTTCGAGATTATCACGGGATGTCAATGAAATTGAAATCTAGTATTCTTAACATCATTTCGAAGTACTCACGGATTAGTTTATTGTAACCCTAACTGCATATGAAACGGCCAACCGTAGCAAAAGTTATCACTCGTCGAAATAGGTCGTTCCAAAATATATAAATGTTTTTTTTCTTATTTTTAAATCAATTTTCGGGATTATCACGAGATGTCAAACGAAATCGAAATTTCGTATTTTTAACACCATTTCGAAGTACTCACGAGTTAGTTTATTGTAACCCTAACCGCGTGTGAAACGGCCAACCCTAACAAAAGTTACCATTCGTCGAAATAGGTCATTCCAAAATATATAAATAT